GCCAGACCTCAGCTTCAGAGGGTTTGCCCCAAACCCACGACTTTCCTAGCACTCTACACAAGTGCTATTGATATACATTTCACTCAGCCTTCTGTCAGTTATGGGGCTGAGTTAAGTGCAGCCTTCCAACAGCTTTGTGTTTGTCTGGGCCATAGGTGCCAGCTCATGTAGTGCTTACAGGGAAGGTGCCCAATCGGTTTGCCTGTGGTCCATCTTCTCCAGGCCTCTGGAATGCCACGGATTACATTCCACCTGAAAGAGGCAGGTTGGGTTACCACTTTGAGTTCAGCCGGGGCGTTTTCCCAAGCAGTCTTCACTTCCTAAGGCAGAAGCACAAGAATGCCATCTTTGAAAATCCAGCTCTTTCTCATCTGTAAATGGTGAAGATCCCCCAAGACTACTCTCAGGTTTGATGAGTTGCTAGAAAGACTCATAGAATTCAAAAAGGCCATTGTCCTTAGGATTGAGGCTTATTATAGTGAAACTCAAAACACTCAACCCCGCTGCCATCAGCTCACTTCTCGGTCATCGGGGCCTGCAGCAGAGTCGACTGCCACTTTGGGTTTCTGAGGCTGTAAATCTTCCACGGGAGCAGACGGTCTCAGTTTTCTCCTGAGACACTTGGTGGGTTTGAACTGCTGACCTTCTAGCCCAACATGTAATCCACTACAGGGCTGGCTGTAGATTAAAATTGGTAAAGGCTATTTTAAAGGCCTCTGGGGCAGAGTATAGGAGAAACTGGGTACAAGCTCCCAGTTGCCAAACCCAGAGGACTGAATTTAGCTACTCAGAATCCAGCCCCCATTGCACAAAGTAAAACAATGTAATCTGGCTCAAAGACCCAGGTATACAAAGGCATTCTGATCAGGCAGTTATTTCCTAAGAGCTTAGACGTTATCGTTCAGGTGCTAGCCAATGGCTTACTCTTTCTTTGAATAGCTTAGATCTACTGAGTTAACCCATTACTGGATTTAATAAGAAAGGTGATACAGCACATGAGGTTCAAGACAGGAATCTAAGAAACCTCTCCCCCCTGCCCCCTTAGTATGGGAATTGTTTTTATTTAAATATTTGTAGTCACCAAATTGAGAACCTTGTACCTTCTTTAAAGGCATTTTCCTTATAGTTCTAGAATGCTTTATGGTTACAGAAGATTGTAAAACTGTGAAAGGAGACTAGAATCAAGTTAAGTGAAAGTAGTTCATCAGTTGATAGTATTTTCTTTTTTTAGAAATTATTTTATTGGGGGCTCTTACAAATGTTATAACAATCCATCATTCAATTGTATTAAGCACACTTGTACATAGGTTGCCATCAACATTTCCAAAACATTTTCTTTCTACTTGTGCCCTTGGTATCAGCTCCTCTTTTTTCCCCTCCCTCTCCCCCTCCCCCCAACCCCCAGTGAATCCTTGATCAATTATAGATTATTGTTGTTATTTTGTGTCTTACACTGTCTGCGTCTCCCTTCTAAGAAACCCGTTTTTAAAGAATCGGAAAACAGCCAGTCACCTTAAGGGGCACATTTCAGCATTACTCTCGTTTTATTGTGTCCATTCACTGAACATTTATTGAGGGTCTCCTCTGTGTGGGACCCTTGGGATTCAAGGTTGAATAAGACATAACTCCTGCATTTAGGAAGCTCACAGGTAAAAGGGATGGAGCTATATGTGTATGCAGATGTTATCATGAGAGCCACTTCCTAAAGCCATGTGAATAGAGTGATGGGGAACCTGAGAGGAAACCGGGACTCAGCTGGTGGTCAGTCAGGGTAGGGGTGGGATGGGGCTTCACAAAGGCAAAAAAAAAAAAAAGTCCACTGTGATCCAGGGCCCCGTGTACATGTACTCAAAGACACTGATCAGGCAGGATTTTCCAAGAGCTTAAATGAGATCTCTCAGGAACTAGTTAAAGACATCCTTTCTTTGGAATGTTTGCCTCCAGGTCCCAGGCCTTTGCTTCCAAGTCTCCTCCTCCCCACATTGCCTCTCCTCACTCCTCCTCTTTCCTCCTCCTGCGTGGTGGCGTGCTCGGTCCAGAGCCCCCTTTCTCTCCTGTTTCTCTCTCTGCATTCTGTCCCCCAGGCAGTTTCATCCACTCCCTTAGCACAAATACCTTTGAGGGGTGGGCAGCTCCTCAACTTGCTTGTCTGGTCCACACCCCTCTGTTGAATTCCAGGCTGGAAAGGCCACTTGTCTACTTGGACATTCTCCAGGCAGGTGTTCACACACCTCAACATTGGCATGGCCCGGATGGAACTCATGATTCTAATTCCCCAGATCAACCCCCGCCCCCGCCCCTGGCGCATGTGACCCATCTCAGGAAATGTTCCAACTGTCTACAAACAGATGCTTGCTTAGTTCCCCCTCCCGCAACCCAACCAATGTCTCTCTGTCTCCTCTGGCACCTTTCTAACACGTGCCATCCCCTCTGCGAACGCACCCTCTTCCCCGTTTTCCGAGCTCCAGAAGCCAGAGAGATCTCTCGGGGTCACATTGGGTCCTGTCACACCCTGGCTCCCTCTCTTCGTTTCCACACCCAGCACTCCGTTATTGTCTCCCACCACCATCTCCCTTATCTATTAGGCTCAGCAACTTTGAGCTTAGAGAAGCTCAGCATTTGTTCCCGTGTGTGTTCTTTTTAAACACAAAAGGGGTGGTTTGGTTTGGTTTTTCCCTGTAGCTGGGTGCCATCAAGTCGATTCCGACTCAGAACCCCTGATGCACAACACAGCAGAGCCCTGCCCTGCCCTGCGCCACCCTCGCAATTGTGCCCAGGCTTGCGTCCAGTGTTGCAGCTACTGTGCCAAGCCCTTTCCCCGAGGGCCGTCCTCTTTCTCTGCCCCTCGGCTCTACCAAGCATGACGTCCTTCTCCAGGGACTGGTCTCTCCTGACGACATGTCCCAAGTAGGGAAGACGAAGTCTATCTTTGCCTCTAAGGAGCCCTCTGACCACCCGTCTTCCAAGACAGATCAGTGTGTCCTTTTCGCAGTCCGTGGTACTTTCAGGATTCTCCACCAGCACCACAATTCAAATGCATCGCTTCTTTGATCTCTCCTATTTAGTGTTAGGTAGGGTCTAATCCAGTGGTTCTCAACCTTCTTCATGCCGTGACCCTTTAATACAGTTTCTCACGTGGTGGGGACCCAACCATAAAATTATTTTCATTGCTATTTCATAACTGTAATTTTGCTACAGTTATGAATCATAATGTAAATATCTGATATGCAGGATGTATTTTCATTGTTACAAATTGAACATAAAGCATAGTGATTAATCACAAAAATAATATGTTGGCGATACTAGGAGGGTGGAGTGGTGATACTAGGCGGGTAGAGGAAAGGTGAGGTAGAAAAGGGGAACTGATTACAAGTGTCTACATAGAATCCGCTCCCTGGGGGTCTGACAACAGAAAAGTGGGTGAAGGGAGACTCAGACACTGTAAGACATGACAAAATAGTGATAATTTATAAATTATCAAGGGTTCATGGTGGGGGTGCGGGGAGGAAAAATGAGCTGATACCAAGGGCTCAAGTAGCAAGCAAATGTTTTCAGAATGATGATGGCAACAAACGTACAAATGTGCCTGACACAATGGATGGATGGATGGATTGTGATCAGAGTTGTAGGAGCCCCCAGTAAAATGATTTCAAAAAACCCAATATGTAATTATATATTGTGAAATATTGATTTCTAATGACAAATAAATGACACTTTGTCATAAAGCATGGTGTAGCATGGGTAGCAGTCTTCACGCTGGTACTCCTATGCGGGCGTATCTGCATGTGGGCGGACCACCTGGAGACGGAGAGAGGAGGGTGTCTCGGTTCCTAAGACCATCGAAAATAGGTGTTTTCCGACCCCTGTGAAAGGGGCATTCAACCCCCACATGGGTCACAAGCCACAGGTTGAGAAGCGCTGGTCTGTGAAATAGTCTCATCCTTTTTTGTCCCATGTCCATCCCTTAGGCCTCAGCGGTAAAGACGCCCTTTCAGAGAGGCCTTTCCTGGCCCCTGAAATGAAACAACTTCCTGCCCTGACTTGTTCAACAGTCAAGGGAGCGTCCGAGTCCATGGAAAAATCCTCTATCTTCCCATTTTATTTTTTCCAAGAACTTTTGGATGCCCCCTTTGTAGAGGCCCTCCTCCTTTAATTGTCTAGCAATCAAGAGGGCCAGGTAGGGTACTGTGAGCACCAGTTGTTTGCTTGTGGGTGTTGCCGGAAGGGTGAAGCTGGAAAGTTAATGAGGCCTCGATTGTAAAGGGCCCAGGGCTGCTTTCTCAAGAGTTTGGGGCACACAGTTAAGCATATCAAGGGCATCAGGCCAAAAGAATGGAGTGGTTCTTAAAGGTCACATGCAGAGAGAGAGATCCAGCTATCTGAGTTGGGAGGCAGCTGGAGTCCATGGGAACTAATTGTAGCTCAGATGGGAAAAAGGTAAATTCTTGGCAAACTCATGTGGCTCGATTGACCTCTGTCCACAGCAGACACCACAGTCAAATGGGACACTTACAGAGGTAGACACTGTAGTCCATCCAAATGCAGTCTCTCTGAGCCCCAAAGGGCCTCCGCTCGCAGCAGCCTTCCCAACACGGAAAGCTCTCTCAAGGACAGTGAAACCTGTGAGAGCCAGACTCCCCAGGACTGCCACGTTTCTCTGGGTCTAAAAAAGCCTCTTTCCTTTGGCTGTGTGCAGTTTTACCACTTTTTCCATCACATACTCTTAGTGGAAAATATTGTAGGTTTTCGTCTCTGACAGGTTTCTATCTTACGCAGTTTCTAGTTTTTGCTGTGGTTGAATTGGCCTAATTTGCCATTGAGTGTCTGCACTCTTTAAGGTAGAAAACTCTCGTGCTCTGGTTAAATATTCATAAATGGATATTTATGAATCTACACATTTATCTTTTTTAGAGAGGGTATGGGTATGGGTATGAAAATCCCTATCTCGGTCTGGATTCCACTTACTTAATCTCCTTTGTTCCTCTCTTCTTTCTTTCCAGGAGAAAATAATGAATATCAAAGGAAAAGTAGTTCTGTCAATGCTGTTTATTTCGACTGTAATTGTTGTGTTCTGGGAGTATATCAACAGGTAATTATGAAACATGATGAAATTACGTTGACAAAAGTCATAACTCAAATCTACCAGCAGCAGCTGAGTCACCATGCTGAATGAAAATGAGGGTTAATTGACATTTTAAATAGGGGATTCCACCCTTCCTGTATACTGGGGAGCTGGCTGTCTTTAGTCGTGAGTTCTCCCAGGAACACTAGCTTATCACATCATCTTTCCCATGATGTTCCCAATAGCTTGAGTTTTGTACTGTCCCAGAGCAACATCAGGAAACAGCTTCAAGTAGAAGAACCGAGGTTTATCAAGGGCTGGAGACAGTCTGGCCTGGGAACACATCCAAGGGCACTGAGTGAGCGTGCCACTCCGCTGGACAGTGAGGGAAAGGACATTGGCATACAGTTGGAGCAGGAGCTAAAAGCTACGAAATCCTCATTTGGCTGAAAGATAATCAGGAGAATCACAGCTTCTCAGGAGATCTAATAGCAATGACTTAGCGAGAGAGATCACCTGATTGGTTAAGGGCGCGTAACTGCAGCACACCTGCTCCGCAGGTTATCGCAGGATGGTCACGGGACAGTGGCAGGATGGTTTGTTGTTGGTGTTTTCAGGTTGTCTGCCGTGAAGTTTGCTTCCTGGATCCTGCCTGTCCCCGCGGGTCCCTGGTGAAGATTTCCTGCGAATGCTGTGCATTAAGCTGTCACACCTGGCATTGGACTGACCAGAGGAAAGGGCCTCTGGGAATAAATAGAGTGCGATGTCCACATGCCGATGTCCATGTGCCTGCCAGGGCTCAGAGAAAAAGAATGTCGCCCTGAGGGTCCACGGTGAGGTCGGCATCAGGTTGGAGGAAGTGCCTTTTGAACTACAACAGGGGTCAGATTCTAGACTCATGTCAAGGTTTTAAGATGGAGGCCAGGCTCTGCTTCCAGGCGGCTCTGTCTACACACACCAAGCTCTTTTGATCTTTACACTTTCAGACAATACTTTTGTCGTTTGGGGGCAGTGGCCCAAGGACAATGAAGTCAAACGAAGCCCCAAAATGCAGTTGAATATATTTGTAAGATTTATATATTTGTATGGAATCTGACTTAAGGAAATTCTGACAAAAATCCGCAAGAAATCCACCCAAACTGTTGCAATCCCCAAAATGTTGGACGAGTTTAAAAGAGCAACTAAAATCGTTGGCTTTTGCTACAAAAAATGCGGAGTCACTGGTGATTCGTTTTTGCCTGGCTAAGAATTTGGGGTGGATTTTTTTGTTTTGTTTTGTTTTTAAACTCTCAGTAGCAAAATGAATGAAATGTTTCTAAACTGCCAACTCGCTGGTGGATTCGCCCCGGAAACAGGAAGTTGAAGGAAGCAGCTATAGAAATGTGTGTCCCAGAGGCATGTGGAAGGAAGCTTGGGTTTTACGTTCACTGTATAACGAAGGAGGGTGTTAGATTGGGTGCTCTAGAGAAGCAAAATGAATGACATCTGTATGTGTTGGACAGAGAAAGAGATGTATGTTCGAGACACGGCTTATACAATTGTAGAAATAGGTACAGGCAGTCAAGTTATAGTCAGGCTTCTCCTGATAAATGCCAAGCGGAATGACGTAGTCGAGCCGGCAGGGAGCACAGGCTGGTGAATGCAACGCTCCAACATCAGCCAAATGAATCCACGATCATTACGGTGACAGCTCCTGGGGATCGGCACGCTGGGCAACAAGAGACTGAAGAAATAGACGCAAGATCCAGCCCTGGCAGAAGGTGAAGGGCCGGAAAGAGGTGCTTACTCTGTTCCGTCTCTCTAACTTGTGCCAAAAGGCTTACGACACCAAGGCGGTGGATAGTTTGAGCTCTGCCCTACCCATGTCCAGAGTGTCTAGTTGACATGACCCCTAACCATCACAAGAGGGTGAGTTGACTTGCCGTCCTTCGTCTTTACGCCATGATGCGTCTGCATGGCCTGGCTTTACATTGGACTGCATCTTTCAGTCCAGACCTTCTAGGGCTCAAAGTGACCATTGGAAGAGGACCTAACCTTTTTAGGCTGCAGCAGCAGGAGGAGGAGGAGGAATCCTGGAGCTGGTCATCCCCATGATGCTGCACTGGTCTAACCATTTCTATTGTTGTCATTTTGTTTCATTAGAAACAACTCATTTTAAGAAAAATTTTTGCAAGCTAGAGAGAGTGTGGCCAAGTTGATGAGGGGTCTGGACACGAGGTCATTGGAATTGATGCAACTGGGGGTCCTTAGATGGAATCTACTCGGTGGCAGTGAGGGGGTGGTTTTGCGGGGAGGGGACATAGAGGAGCCCTAAGGGTGCAGGATTGCAAGAAAGGTCTTCAACAACCTGTCGAATGTAGATGACAGAGCCTCATCAGGATGGATGGCAGCTCAAGGTAACGAAAACAACCCTTACAACTGGACCACCAAGCAGCATCGTGATAAGTGAGGTCCCGGATGGAGGCTCTCACGGATTTCCTTTCCCTTGGATTCGCAGTCGGTGCTCACGGAAGCAGCCGTCAGGAGATCACACAGTGTCCGGCAAATCTGCCGCGCGGGACCTGGTTAAGATATTAAAGCACCAGGCTGTCATGTGGAGGACAAAGGTGCACCTGACCCACGCCATGGCATTGTGGGAGAGCTAGACAAGGACCCGGAGGAGAGTGCAGAGGGTTTGATGGATTCGTGTGAACTGTGGTGGGGGCGGGGGGAAGCATCTTGAAATTACCACAGGCTGCCGGACAAAACCAGAACCACAGCCCCTGCTTTGGAGGAAGTCTAGCCAGGATGGTTAGGCTTCGTCTCATGTACTTTGGACACGTTGTCAGGAGGGATCTGTCTGTGCAGAAGGACAGCATGCTTGGTCAAGTAGAGGGGCAGTGAGGAAGGCCCTCAAGGAGGTGGGTTGACACTGTGGCTGTCCCCATGGGTGCTCAAGCAGAGGAACAAGCGTTAGGGTGGCTGGGCACCAGGCAGTGTTTTGGCCCGTCGTGTATAAGGTCACTATGGGTCAGAACTGACCCGATGGCACCTAATGACTTCTCAGATGCGGACATAGAGACCACGTCGATGCCTTAACAGTGGCTTGAAGTCCAAGTTCTTACTGAAAGCGAAGATCTTCTGATTCATTGCCCAGTACTCCCTCCTGGGCTACTTGCCCTGTGCTGAGTGCTGCACAGGGTGTATCATGGGAACCCAGTAGAAGTCCTACCTTCATGGGTTTATGATCTAGATGGGACAATGTGATATATGCATACAGAAGAGTTGGCCCCACCTCAGCTCCAAACACTGGACTCTTCTAACACTCAACCCTAAGGTTACTGGCTTAAGTGGCTTTTTTCAATATCGGGGCACCCATCCATATTCTTTGACTTTGCCTAGGCTTTATCCCAGGAGAAAAATGAAGCTTTCTACTCCCATAAAGAGTTACAGTCTCGGGAGCCCCAGGGTCAGTTCTGCCCTGTCCTGTAGGGTCACTAAGAGTCAGAATGGACTAGATGGTGGTGAGGAGGCTTCTTGTGCCAGCTCACCACTCCCCCACATCTACTCCGGCAGCCTGTTCTCCAGGAACCTTTTTTAGGTGCAAATATGTCTCCTTCCGCTGCTTAAAGCCCACTGGGGTGAAATCCCCCAACAAGCCTCTGCACAATCTTCCCTCAGGATTCTGCTCTTTCATATTGCATAGTGTGTGCTCTTCCGGGAACATTTTCCCTTCCCACTTACCCTTCCCTGGGGGACCTCCTATTTCTCCCCTAGATCTTGCCTAAAACATAACCCCCTCCTCTAGGAAGCCTTCCGGGTTTCCCCATCAAGTGCTCACAGTTAGTTACGGGGACCTTCTCTTTGTAGCATGTCTTGGAGTTTTATGGGCTCATGAGCGATGTGATTATCTGAATAGAGGCTGCCTTCCCTTTAGAGCAGTGGTTCTCAACCTTCCTAATACCGCGACCCTTTCATGCAGTTCCCCATGTTGTGGTGACCCCCCAACCATAACATTATTTTCATTGTTGCTTCATCACTGTCATTTTGCTACTGTTATGAATGTAAATATCTGATATGCAGGATGTATTCTCATTGGTACAAATTGAATATAATTAAAGCATAGTGATTGGTCACAAACAATATGTAATTGTATATTGTGAAATATTTCTTTCTAATTACCAATGAATGAAATTTTGTCTTGAAGCATGGTATAGCATGGGTATAGTCTTCACACTGGGTACTCGTATGTGGGCGTATCTGCCTGTGGGTGGACCCTCCTCCTGGAGACGGATAGAGGAGCAGCATCTCCATTCCTAAGATCATCCGAAATATGTGTTCTCTGATGGTCTCAGGAGACCCCTGTGAAAGGGTTGTTTGACACCCGCCTCCCGCCCCCCCCAAAGGGGTTGCGACCCACAGGTTGAGAACCACTGCTTTAGAGTGGAGGCTGGGGACTGACACTCGGCCAGCATTATATCCCTAGCACCTGTCAGCGCATACCTGCTCGGCACGTTGTGTTGAATGACTAAGTGGGGGCGGCTCCTTTGAGGAATCTGTGTATTCACCAGCCCAGCCTGTGGGTCCTTCGACGACGTCAGTCGTTTCAGAAAAGCCTGCTGGAGCTGCGGACAGCTGAGCTGGAGGAGGCAGTAGAGCCTGGGGTCACTCCTACT